AACTGCGTACTCTGGACTTCATTCTAAATTCTTGATTTGTCTATATTTAGCAAAGCTATAACCGTCATCAAGCCCCAAACCAGGAAGACACCATTCACAAACCACCCCCTGAAAATCTGCATTGCCTGTAAAAAAAAAAAACAGACTTCGCAGCAGGCAGTCATCTGAAGTAGGAGGGATCAAAGTGGCATCTGAGTCAAGAAGGGACTCAGGAGCATCTAACTAATATCTCTGCTTGGTGCTCAAGGGTCCCATGAAACATTTCTTCCCCTTCTCACCTGCTCTACTAAGGCATCTTAGCTGCCCTGTGCATTCTCCTCTAACACTGGTAACACGCACACACACCTGCCCGATTCTGCCTGACTTCTTGCCTCTTATGACACTTCTAAGACACCTTTCTGTACTTTAGCACAGAGCTAGGGCACAGTAAGGGAGCAAGTACATACATGCAGCTGCTTAGTAATTCTTCAAAGAGCACAGAGCCACTGAAGAAAGTGAGTGGCAAACACATCCAAATATATATTAGGAAGCAAATACACAAGAATCTCATTCTATGCCACCTCCAAACACACACACCCTTGGCTTCCTTTCCTTGAGCCTGGAAGGGAAACTTGTACCAAAACAGTGACATCACACCAGGTCAGTATTCCTGAGATTCATCTTCCATTTCGCCACTCCACATTTTTGCACATCCATTCCTTCTAGCTACAAGGCCTTGGGTAACACGACTAGTACACTTGCGGGGTAACTGCCATTCCTGGTCAAACCTCCCCTTCCTCCCTATCATCGCTGAAAAACAGGACACTTATCCCAGGATTACTTGTTATTTACTTGTCTCAGTCTATGACCCATCAAGCTTTTTTCTGGTACTTAATACAGTGCCTGCCACAAAAAAGCACAAATGAATGGCTCACCAGATGAATGCACACATGTACTATCAAGACATTTAGAACTGTGCACTATATGTAGGCTGGGGAGGGGAAGGGGTTGCACACAGTTTTCAAGCCTTTCTTCCTTGATCTGCAGATAGTGGGAATTAGGAAAGCTTTCTCACCAGTCCAGACCTGGATTCTTTTTGTGCAGGTGAGAATGTTCTTAGAGCCTGTTAGTTCACCTTCTGCCGAACTGATACAGCTCTGGAATGCTGCCTTGGGCACAGTAAGTATTCAATATTTACTTACTGTTTAAAGTTTAGAAGTAAGGCTTTATAGAGCCAAGAAGTATGACAAAAGTACTGCTTCTAAGCACTGCTCTAATTTTCCCAATGAGCTCATTCTAGCAGCTTAAGCCAAATAAATCTTCCCTTGATATCACGTGTCTATTAACTTAGACATGGTTTATCATCTCATCCAGGCATCCTTACTAAGAAAGCACTTGGCCTAGAGATGGCCACATCCCTCTAATTCACAGCTGAGAGGCTCACCTTCCTCCAGACAACCAAGTACCTGCAGGACTAGAGAGCCAATCAAGCAAGGCTGCCGTGGAAATGGCAGTCTAGCGTTCTCCTCTAGCATCTGATTCTTGAGCCCTGGCAGGCCCTACTGTGAAACACACACTACTACCCACACTGGGGAAAAGGAAATTGTGAACAGGATGTGGTAGCAATCAGGTCTGTGTTTGAAAATTCTCACTGTCACCACCCTATACTGCCTGGTCACTGCTTGGGGCACTTGGCATATAACTCATTATTCTTGAACACCTCTGGCTGGACTCAGAGAAGAGGAGCTAGGGAAGAGGCACTGCTACCCAAACAATACTGCAAAGAACATCTGACTCAGCCCAAATACAAAAGGTGAGATTGCTTTAGATTGTCCCAACCAGGCAGGTTTTCACCTGCTCCCCACTCACCTTTATCTATAAATACACTGTTGCCGCTTAAATAATAGCTACCATGTATTGAATTTATCACTTTTGAAGTGATAAATTCTTTATATATACTATCCCACTATCCTCAAGACCACCCACAGGGCAGTGGATCTCAGACTTTAGCTTACATCAGAATCTCCCTGGGACTTGTTAAAGTCCCATAGCCACAATCTACAGAGTGTGCTGTGAGATCTTCATTTCTAACAAGCTCTCCTGTGGAATAGCTTGACCCAAGTCGTGTAACTGGCTAAAGAAGAAAGGGAGGGAGGGAAAGACCCAGAGGACCAGCAAAACAGCTCAACAAGTAAGACACTTGTCATGAAAGCCTAACAATGTGAGTTCTATCCCCCAACCCAGGTAAAGGTAGAAAAAGAGAACTAACATAACAATGTTGCCTTCCGACTTCTACATACTATGACACATACATACACATACACACACAAGTTGTAATAATAATAATAACATTAAATATGTTTTTAAAACCAGATCCACAAAATGGTGAGATGGCTCAAAGGGTAAAGACATCTGCTACCAAGCCTGAAGACCTAAGTTTGATCCTCAGGATCCACATGGTGGAAGGAAAGACCCAGTTCCTCAAAGTTGTCCTCTGACCTCTGCATGCACGTGCAAGCATTCGCATGTACACACACACACACACACACACACACACACACACTATAAAAATGTTTAAAAACAAAAGCAGATCCAAAAATTGAACCTAAATCTGATTATACAATCAGTGCCCATAAGCACACAACTATATTACTACTATTTCTTTTCTTCCTAAGTTGACTGGTAGTTTCCAAAGGCAGACATAAGGGCTGGGGACATAGCTCAGGGGTACATGCACAAGGCCAGCATGATCCACAGCACCTCAAGGAAATTTATTGGCTAATTAAAGGCAGGCATCATACTTTAGAGTTTAGGCCCCTTACCCCCTTCAAAACTTAGCAGTGTCTTTGAACTCAGTAGGTGCCACACACATACTGACTCCTACATATCCACATACTTCAGAGGCCACACACAATTCTAGCTCAATCATAGCCAAAGAAATTTGCCAGACCAAATTTTAAATGCTACTCTCACACAGAGCCTCAACCCATGCTGTCACCATACTAGCTCATTCCATAAACAGTTCTTGGCTCCTTAACAGTGAAGGGCACTAAGGACAAGATTTGCAGCTATTATACCCTAGCTTCTTTCATGGTGACACTAATCATATCAGTAACTGTCCCTTTTCCATCTCTTAAAACATCTCTGGAACTCTAGCATCTAGTTTAACATCACGTCCCTAGAGCCTAGGACAGAACCTGCCATATCACAGGTACCCTGTAACTGTTGGTTGAAGAAATAAATGCATGCACAGTTGCAAACCCTACATTCTATTTTTTAAAATATCAGAATGCACAATGTGCAGTTCTCAGGATGAATTCCAGGGCAGCCTAGAAAACAAAGCCCGATTTTGTGTTTTCTCTTTCCCATCACTCTTCCAAGACTCAGAGAATAAGCAATGCTTAGGGCAGCACATGATGAGACAACATCCTAGCTGAAAAGAAAAAGGAAACTGCTCCTGGGCTCTGAGGCCAGCAGAGGCCGTTTAGAGAGGAGGAAAGTGCTCTGTGCCCCTCATCCTCCTGCTCTCGCACTCCACCCACTGCAGTCAAGGACTTTGGCTACGATGAAAGAGTCAGCTCAGATTCCAAGGTACAGATCTGGCAGCAGACACAGAAGCATCTCCCACCATGCACCAGAGTCCTCAAAGAAAGGTCCAGAAAGGATGGTGACTCAGGCCCAGACTAAGTCCAGTTGGAGCATTACTAAGAATGAAAAAAAAGCAGTAATTTAAAAAGGAAATTCATTATCAGATATCTCTTTAAAATGGTGCTTTTTAAGTACAGGCTTCAATCCTACCCTCAGATGCCAGGCCCCACCAAATCCAGTGCTTACACAAACTGAGTCAAACACAGCTTCTCCCTCTTCCCACCCACCCATCCACCACCCTACAACACTCACCATGACAGGCATTTCCTAGGCCCAGGTAGGGATCCTTCTCCAACCTCAGCTTGCAAAGCCTCCTTTTCAAAAGGAGCCTCTTAGCTTTCATCCTCTCTTCCCTAGCTAATAAGCTATCCCCTACCACCATGTTGCCTTTCCCGAGACCTCCCCCATACCCAACCCCTGGCAGTCTGTAACACAACCTACAGTAGGCTGGCCCTATCCAATTAGTTTGAATTGCTTCATGCCAAGGAAATCGCTGCTTTTATTAAAAATAAAAGCACTCTAAGCAGGCAATGAGCTGTGCAAAGTATCAGTCTGGCATAATTATGAAGGTCGAGGTTAAGGTTAGCAGAGAAACACTCAAAAGATTTCCCTAAAGCCTGGGGCATGAATACAAATACACAAATGAGCACACACCAAGAGAATCCACACAGAGGATCTAAACAGCACCCTCTCCAATTGAGAGGAAACTAAACCAGAGCCACTGTTAAGTAATTCTTAAATAGAAACTAAAACAGGAGAAAGGAGGCCTAGGCGACTGAGTTCAAAACAGTCTCATTCACTTCTTATGATTTTTATCTTAGCTACATCCTGGGGACCTGGTTACAGTTGGGTGAAGAAACAAACCTAGTCAAACGACCAAAACATGCATTCCCATCAACCAGGAAAAAAAAATCCTCTTTGGATACTTACAGAAATGGGAAAGTTGGATAGGAGAAACTCCTCTTTTTAAGGTCTCTCCCCATCCCCACCCTTCAGCCCCCACATCAGAATTTAAAGTTTCAGAGAAACGGCAAGACCACCACCCTGCATTTGATGTCATTTCTACTTCACATACGTTTTCACATCTGATCCGCACAATTCAGTCAAAGGAGGAGGTTTTCCGAGCCTCGCCCGCCCCCCCGACCCCAACTAAAATAAAAAGGCCACTGAGGTAAACAATTTGGGCAATACCGCCCCGCAAGCCCTGTCAATTCCCAGTCTTAGTTTTAAATCTCTCAAGGACAATGACTCACAGGGAAAGTGCAGGGGGAAGGGAGGGTCAGTTGGTCAAAACCCATTCATACAACTGGAAACCAGAGTCTTGCCACATCAGCACATGAATTTAATTCACCGCGCACTGGCTTCCAACGTACCTTCCGCCAGCACCTCGTCCACGGTGACCTGCTGCCGCCCGATGCCAAAGACCCTTCCGATGTAGCCACTGCCCAGGCCTGAGCTGCTGCCCCCTCCTCCGCTGGAGCCTGAGCCCAGGCCAGAGCTGCCCTGCTCCCGCCTGGAGTCGAAAAACTTCTTCATCTTTCCAATAGGAAACGCCAAGGCAAAATGCCGATGGTTTCTCGGTTCGTATTTGTTGTAAAGAAAAGAGATCTAAGGATTTCTTCTCAGGTTTCAGCCCGGAGCAGAGCCACGGGAATCCGGCCGTGGGGTGGGGGCTAAGGGACGGCGCCTGCAGGAATATACTGTCAATCGCGCGATGGGTCCCCTCCTCCTCGCAGAACGATCGTTTAAGTTTAAACCTGCGATGACAGAGGCAGAGAGAGGATGAATCAGTAACACACTCCTGAGCCCAACTGCCGTGTCCTAGGGGAAGCAAAGGCCGTCATCCAGAGGAAACGCTGGGTGCATTTTCTTCAGGAAAGCCCTGGAAACACACCGGCCCCCAGCCCGGACCCCCGCCCCGGGCCCCGGACCCTGGACACCCACTAGCGGCGGCTCGGCGCCAAGCCCAGCTACCAGCCCCGCGACATGGCCACGGCCGCCGGCCTGCGACGCGGAGGAGGCGGCGCTGCCGCAGAGCCGGGGCCACTTAGGCGCCCGCCCGCCAGCTGATCCCCGAGCGCAGCGCTGAGGCCGCCCCTCCCCCGCGCGCGCGCCCGTCGGCTCCGTCCACCCACCCGGAAGTGACCTGCCACCGGAAGTGCCTCTCAGGGCAGCGTGGTCCCTGCTCAGGGTCGCCTCTGAGATACCAGCTGTAGTGACAGCCCGAAAGAAGTCGATGGCAAGAAGGGGACCAGAGGAGGGGGACTCTGGACAGAGATACTTGAAAGAGAACGTTGCTATCGCCCGGCCGCTGCGCACCATGGGAAAGGTAGTTCGGTGCAACCTGGCATCTGGACTATAATTCCCAAAATGCCCCGGGAGCGGGCGCCCCTTAAGACGCGGTCTCCGCGGCCTGGCGGTGATACTGGAGCGGTGCAGAAGTGGGGCTTCGAGTATTTAAATACATCCGGTAAAGACGCCGGAGATTAGTTTCCAAGCTGTATGTCCCACTCCCTGGGGCCATTTTATCTGGCTTGGCCTCGGGGACCGAGGCACTCTGGGAATTGTGGTTTCACACGGGTCCGGATTGACACCTGAAGGACGCGGCTTAACTGCCTCGCCCCCAGTTGTGCTTGGGAGTTCCCCGACGTCACGGGAGCAGAGGTACAGAAGGCAGGGGTGGTGGGAGCATGGTGTCATCAGAGAGCCGAGAAGGAACCCCTTCAGCACGAAGGAAGCAAAGCAGGTGTCTGTCTTACCTACCCGACCACGATGAGAACTCCGGGAAACCCGGGGGTCGGAAAAGAATGCTGGGGGGATCTAGGGACCAGGGCACGGTCCACCCTAAGGCTCCACACCCAATCCATGGCCCTCAGCGGACACATTCCTGCGGGAACTCTAGACACACCTACTCCGTTCTCTTCGATACTCTTTCAGAAGAAGATGTTGGGTTTACTTGGAATCGCCTGGGTGCGGATCGGGTATAGGGCTGTGTGATTGACACCTATCAACTGCTAAGGATTTGGAAGGGAACTGAGACCTCCGTTCCTAGATCGCCTCAAAGGCGATACTGATGTGTCAGATCTCTAACTCCCCCGACCCCTCCACCCAAGAAATGCATGGGGTTTTTTTTTTTTTCTCTTCTTTGTGTATAAATTTTTCTCCTCCACCTGCTCTCCACAGTTCTTAACCGCCCTCTTGACTTGCAATTTATCCCGGAATTTCTGCTTCAGGCACTTGAGGAAGATCTAGAAGGTTGCCCCCAGGAAAGAAAAAAAGATGGCTCTTGTTTAATCTGAATATTGAGATGGGCTGGGCTGGGGGTGGCTTCGGCGGTTTCTTGTTTCATGTGGTGCCATAGTCATCTAACTCCCCGGGAAGAGATAGCATCGTTCCTTCCGGAGAGAACCAGTATTGCCACCTCAGTTCACACCGTAGCCACCTTCAGGGTGAGACTCAGCACCTGCTGAGCATCCCCTTAACGCAGCCCACGAGGTGTTTTCGCCTCACCTTCCTAAAAAGGCTTGATTTCTGTCTAAAGAAACTTGGCGTGTATCTTAAAATAGATGGGAAATCTTATTTGGCTTATAGACTCTCATCTTTCTCAACACCCATTAACTTGGACTGACTTAAAGAATCTGTTAGTTACTCTATCCATCAGGCCCTGTTGCCTTATCAGGTTTTACTTTTCTCCACTTTCCTGGTACAGAGCAGGTTTCCACAAATCTCAAGCCTTACTTCAGACCTTCAAAGCTTTCCAATGGCAATAAAGCAGCTAACATGCATTTATTAGGTACTTTCCTGGATGATAAACCACTGTTTAACTGCCAGTAGGGACTGGCAACAGTCGTTCCTGTGATTTTATTTATTTATTGTGTGTGAGAGAGACAGAATGAGAAAGACTCACTGAGTAGCTTTGGCTGGCCTGGAACTCACTCAGTAGACCAGGCTGGCTTCAAACTCAGCGAACTGCCTGCCTCTGCCTCTGCCTCTGCCTCTGCCCCCACCTCCCAGGGGCTAGGACCCCTGGCCTTATTTATTTATTTATTTATTTATTTATTTGCTTATTTATTTGCTTATTTATTTATTTAAAGTATATAGCTTGATCACAATCTGAGAGAGGTTTAAAAATAAAATGACTACAAGACTAGATTTATTGTTTTGCATTCTTTTAGAGACTAAAATTAATAGCAATTATAGCTCAAGTTTTTCTAGCTTTACATACATTGCAGCATTATTTAATTCTCACAACAATCTATAAAGTAGAGTACTATTAAGATCATTTTAAAGATGAAGAACTGAGCCAGATGGTGTGGCACATGTCTTTAATCACAGCACTTGGGTGGCAGAGGCTGGTGGATCTCTGTGAGTTCGAGGCCAACCCGGTCTATAAAGCTACACAGAGAAAAATATAAATAAAATAATCAAAAAATAATAAAAAACAAAACAAAAAGATGAAGAGCTGAAAGCACAAAGATAAATAATTTGCCCCAAATTACACTGATAACAGCAGCAACACCAGGATTCAAGCCCAAATAGTTTGACTTCTGAGCTCAAAGCTAAACTGTCTGCTGAGGAGGAAGAAACTGATTAAAGACTTGAGCATAGGTAAGAATAGATGTGGCTCTCCACAGCTCTGACCATACAACACTTAGATCTTGGCACCCACCAACCACAAAGCCAGAACTCACTAGTTCTTGAGAACAAAGTAATCTCAAATGAGCCACTCTAATTCACAAACCTACACTTCTTGTAACTTTTTCCACCATGCCTTGGGTCTCTGTTCAGTTTTTCATGTATGTTACCACTGCAATGAAGTGCCTCAGAGTCCAGGAATGGCCTTCGGGTTACCTCCTTGGACACCCAACACAATCTTTTATGTAGAGTGTGTTCTTATCCGTGCTTAAGTGAACTAAATAATTATCGTTAGCTACCACAAAAGAGCAATCTGGGGTACAAACATGGAGACCCTATAGATCAGGTGAGTTTGAAATGGGTCTGAGAGACACTGGATATGTTCAATTAAACTGGCATTTACTATGCAACTGTAAGTCATTACTCTCAAAACACTTAGCACAATATCTTGTTCAATCCTCACAGTCGCAGTGCCTGGAAAATTGATACTGTTGGCTGTATCGAAGGAGATTCCGTTGCACTATTATCTCCTATTTTGTGTGAATACTGGAGGTGTAGAAGTAGTCGATGGGCATGTTTGTCTTCTTCAGTCTGGAGGAAATGATGTGCCCGGTGGTGTTGCTAAATCAGTCATTGTAGACTCTGTTAGAGAAACGGTATGATGCACCTTGTCTTACTTAGGTTTCTACTGCTGTGAAAAAACTCCATGACCAAAAGCATGTTGGGGAGGAAAGGGTTTATTTCAGTTTACAGCTCTCCGGTTGCACTTAATCACTGGTGGCAGTCAGGGCAGCAACCTGGAGGCAGGCAATGAAGCAGAGGCTGTGGAGGAACACCGCCTAGTGTCTTGTCCCTTCGCTAGTGGCTTCTGGACTCTCCAGGGATTCTAACCTTGCTACATGGTGTCAGGTCTCACCCCATGACCCCTTCAATCCTGGGGGCTTCAAATGCAACTGAGACTGTACCTTCATCAGTGGCTTCTGAAGTGAGAATTTACAAAAAGTATAATAACCAATTTATTAAGGGGTGCAATGGAAAGACAAGCTCATGAATGCAGATCCAGCCGCCACTGATTCCGTGCCACCTCTCTGCTGCTTGGTGTCCGAACACGCCAAGCACGAGTCAGAGCAAGAGAGCGGAAAGTGCCCCCCTTCTTTCCTTTAAAGGGGTCCCACCGAAGGCAAGAATCACTGGCTATATCTGATCAAATAACCCAAGGTCATGGGCAGAGTGACCCCACCCACTGCAGGCCTCTCCAGGAACTCCAGGCCTTCCACTCAGTTCCAAGCCTTAGCACTCTCAGGAACCCCATCATGCCTTCAAACATAATGTCACACAGGTGACTCCCACTTCATTCCTACTCTACCAAGTTCAGCTGTCACTATGACCCTGACCCTGAGAAAACTCCTCCCAGAAGATGTTGTCTCTTCTTATTCACAGCTGATTCTTCAGCCCCATCTGGCCAGTATAGATTGACTTTGGCAGTTCTTTTCTTTTCTTTTTGGTTTAGCCCTGGCTGTCCTGGAACTCACTCTGCAGACCAGGCTGCCTTGTACTCAGAGGTCCCCCAGCCTCTGCCTCCCGAGAGCTGGGATTAAAGGCGTGCACCACCACCAGCTGGCTGCAGCTCTTAATCCAAAATATCAAATGGCCCTCATAGAGTCTAAGAGACTCTCAAACTTTCCTCTGAAACTTCACAAGCCAGGCCTCCATCATCTGCACTGCTCTGACGTTTATCATTTTTGTTCCCACAGCAGTTCATTAAGCTCTAAACACTCAATGGCTTTCCCAGCCTAAAGTTCCAAAGTCCTCCCACAATCCTCCCCAAACATGGTCATGCCTGTTACAGCAACGTCCCACTATCCTAGTGTCAATTTCTGTATTAGTCATTTTTCTATAACTGATAAAACACCATGACCAAAGCAAAGAAAGGGCTTGTTTCATCTGACAGTTTATAGTCCATCATCCAGGAAGGTTAGGGCAGGAACCTGGAGGCAGGAGCTGATACAGAAGTCATGGAAAAGTGCTGCTTACTGGCTTGTTCTCATGTCTTACTCAGGATTACCACCAGCCCAGGGGTTGACATCATCAAGTCAAGAAAGTGCACCACAGCCAATTTGGTGGGGACATTTTCTCAGTTGAGATTCCCTCTTCTGAAATGACTAGCTGGTGGCAGTTTGACATAAAAACTAACCAGCACACATGTGAAAATAAGACGTGAAATGGAAGAGCAACTTTAGAAAAAAAGTAAAAGGACCAACATCAAAGGCCCAGCTAAGTGAGGCAGTGTGTTGAGATTTTACCTTAGCAAGAGTCTATGACTTCATTTTATCCATGTAGATTCAGAGGCCAATGGGATTAGGATCAGCCAATCGTTGTTACACAGATCCACAAAGGGCAGAGCCAGAATCAGAACCAGACTGACCTCAAAACCCACATTGGGATCTGTGCTACTGTTTCTGAGATGCTCCATTCTGTGGTGCCATCTCGAAGCCCAGTGAAACTTGTTAGAAATGCAAACTGTTGAGCTCCACCCAGACCTGCAAACTCAGAGGGCTAGATAGAGGCAATGTCTTCAGACATCCAGAACATTCCACTGGGTGTTCTGGTTAAGAACTACTGTTTGGCAGAAAGAACTGGTGAAAACCAGTTCCAACTTAAAAAAGCAAGCAAAACAAAAAACCTTAAATTGGTTTTGTTTCATCCTCTGGTTAAAAAGGAGCTATGTTTACTGAAAAAAAAGTTTTAAAAAGAAAACAGATTTTTTTAAAAAACAGATTTCTTACTCAATTTCCTTTTACTGTCTGTTCTATATAAATACAGACTTGCATATATTTGTATGTATATGGTATATGTAGGGTTTTTGCATGTTAATAGGTGCACATTCACTTAGGTGGTTCCAAATTGATGTGGGTATTATCCTCTATCACTTTCCACCTTACACACTGAGGCAGACAGCTCCCTGAACACAAAACTTGCCATTTGAGTGGTCTGGCTAGCCAGCCCGTTCTGAGGATTCCCTGTCTCCA